AGATTCTTTGCCTAGGCTTATAAACTATCAAGACTATTTACAAGATTGGCCTATGTGTTCAGATACCAATGTGGTGAGCACTGTATAAATAATTTGTACTAGATAGACTAAATGCTAAATAATCCTCAAAAAGCTTTATTCTTTTGAGATCCTGAAGTTCAGCGGTTTTCTGAAATGTACGAAAATGGGACTGAGACTCTTTGCTCTAAACATTGGGCTGGAAATCTTGCAAACAACTTTGTAGCAAGATCTCCAGTAATTGACTGTTTTGGTTTGGCTGGAAAAAGCATGAAAACAGCTTTTCTTGTAATATATTGGAATTTCCACTTCACATACTAAAACAAATCGGGGACCAAAGAACATACTCTAGATTTAATAGTGAAAGAAGTGGAGAAATATAATCTTCAGTGTTTCAGTTCTGAGCGGTCAATGGGAGACAACCTACTGAAAGTTATTACTTATAAATGGCCTAGCAGATTTGTTTTTTGTTTTTTTACAATTTTTAAAACCGTTCTCTCTCAGGCAGGCAGTACAAGCATTATGCCAAGTTTCAGTCCACAGCAAATTCTTCTGGTTAACTTCTAACCCTAGAAAGTAGGAAATATGAGTAAACTGTGACATAACTGTGTGACCAAGCTATTGTTATAAAGGTCATACCAAAGATGCTGTTTTTAAAGTAGAAACAAAGTCTATCAAAAAGGAAAAGAAATGGTGCATGAAATAGGACAGCCCGGTGAGAGATCTTAAAATATGGGAGACAATAGCCAGTGTTTGTGTAACTCTGCAAATGAAAAGGCTCCTCCTTCCCCATAACTAAATACACAAATTTGGTTAGTTTGGGTGAAGACAAATGTGCATGAGGTTTCATAATAGCAAGTTTCTGCACAGCATGTTAAGCTACGCAGAATTTAGCAGTCTGACATTATCCTTTGCAGTTCAGTTTTTCACATTTTATGTTGGGCCAAACTATCAACCTGCAGGGCATGAGAATTAAGGACAGATGCACTGTGAATTTGGGATGTGACCAAATCCAGGGGCAATGAATTTGCATGCATATCACCTTTGTATACGTGGGTGGCGCCTTCTGTCACTCTCTGCTTTCTTTTCCTGCAAGCTGTAGGCTGCCATTTCTGTTTTCACTCCAGAAGCACTAATCCCAGTTGGCTGCAACAGGAGTTTGTTTTTTCCTTACATCACATGATGTGCAAGATGCCATTAATGTAATTCTTTTAGAATATCTCACCATCTGCAGCACAGGACTGTGTGTTTACTGTTTTTTCCAAATTTGAGCATTTTCTAATCAGGACTATGGAACAAATTAAACAAGAGTAGTGAAAAACCTCAGGACAGCTGAAAAGAATCACTGGCATTCCTAAATAAACACAAGCTGTACCCTGGTTAATCATGTACCACATTTATCTGAAGCCCCAATTTTCAGACTGAGGTATACAACATTTAACCAGCTGAACTTTTACACTTTCAGCCAAAATATAAAGAGAAATGCAGAATACAGAATACAGTCTACCTTAATATTACTGAAAATGTGGCCTGGCTTGCAAGATTACAGGAAACTAGGTACTCCCTCACCAACAGGAAAGTGGAAATGTGAACCTTAAAAAAGAAACCACTCTCTCACTAGGCAAAAAATCTTAAAGAGGATCTCTGGTAGGTAAAGGTTTCAAAGGGCAGGGGCCATCTTTCCTCTCCTAATGCTCAACTTTAATTCCTGGAAAGCAGTTTTTCCAAAAGATGTCACGATCTTCAAAGAAAAGTGTAGCCTCTCCTCCAAGTTTTTTCTTAGAATAAGTGTACACGGCAAAAGAAAACAAACCAAGCCAAAAACACCTGTGGCAGTGAGTCTCAGAGCTCAGTCTACAGACTTGGGCTGGTGACGCCTATGCTACTGTGCTAAAAATAACTGTGTAGATGTTCGGGCTCAGGCTGGAGGTTGTGTTCCGAAACCCACATCCTTCCTTGGGCTTCAGAGCCCAAACTCCAGCCTGAGCCTGCATGTCTACATGGGTATTCTTAGCACTGTACTGTGAGCTCTGTGAGCCTGAGTCTGTAGACCAGGGCTCTACGACTCACTGCTGTGAGGTGTTTTTTTTGCCTTGTAGTTAAACCTTCTGTAATGGTGTTCCTCCAAAGGATAAGGATTCTCGGCAGGCAAACGTAGAGAAATGGGTCCTAAAAAGCAAAGGGACACAGGAGCTACTTTGTTTAAAAGCAAAGGTATGGTTGTGACATTCCCCTCTGGTGTTATCTGGACCAGTGATCTGTTAGGTCACTCCAATCCTTGACTCTGGGAGCCAGCCTTACCCGGCTCTGCTGTGAGAACCCCCACTCCCTAGCTGTTCATGCATAGTCTCTGGCATGTAAGCTGCTCCCAGCTACTTGCAACCGAATGACACTAGCCAATATCTCTGGTCCCAGACACAACCCTAGGAACCTCTGTCTTGCAGTGTCCAGTTACGCCCACTGGACGCTGCAAGCTTATATGAGTTTGTCAATTTAAAAAAGAAATTGATATGTACCAGGCCTGTTATCTCAAGGGGAGTCTCTGACACACTTCAAACCAAAATCACTGCTTCAGGTAGAATAAACAAACAGATTTATTAACTACAAAGATAAATTTTAAGAGATTATAAATCAAAGCATAACAAGTCAGATTTAGTCAAATGAAATAAAAGCAAAACACATTCTAAGACAGGAGTGGGCAAACTTTTTGGCCCGAGGGCCACATCGGGGTTGTGAAGGCTGTGCCTCCCCAAACAGCCTGGACCTTGCTCCTTATCCACCCCCTCCCACTTCCCGCCCCCTGATAGCCCCGCTCAGAACTCCCGACCCATCCAACCCCTCCCCGCTCCTTGTCCCCTGACCGCCCCCTCCCAGGACCCCACCCCATATCCAACACCCTTGCTCCCAGTCCCCTGACTGCCCCGACCCTTATCCACATCCCGGCCCCAACTGTCCCCCGGGACCCCACCCCCTATCCAACCCCCTTGCTCCCCATCCCCTGACCGCCCCCCCACTGAACCTCCGCCTCATCCAACTGCTCCCTGTCCCCTGACTGCCCCCTGGGACCCCCTCCCCGCCCCCTTACCATGCCACTCAGAGTAGCAGGAGCTCGCAGCCAGCGGCGCAACGTGCTGAGGCTGCGGGGGAGTGGAGACAGCAGGGGAGGGGCCAGAATCTAGCCTCCCTGGCCGGGAGCTCAGGGGCTGGGCAGGATGGTCCCATGGGCCGGATGTGGCCCGCTGGCCATAGTTTGCCCACCTCTGTTCTAAGCTGATCTGAACACTTTCAGTGCCCTTACAAACTTAGATGCTTCTCACACAGGCTGGGCTGGTGGCTTTTCACCTTTGATCAGCGCTTCAGTCGCTTGGTGTGATGTCTGTAGATGTAGGTGGAAGAGACTGGAAGAGCATGGCAAATGTCTCTTCCTTTTATAATTTCCTTTCTTCCCTCCTGGGTCTGGGCTGTTCCCCTCTCCCCCTTCAGAGTCAGGTGAGCATTACTGAGTCTCTCCAAGCAAGGTTGAGTAATTCCCCTGGTGTGGCCTTATGCAGGTGAGTCATTGCAATGTAGTTCCCTTGCTGGACAATGGCTGTTGATGGGTTGTTTGACACCCTGCCCAGGCGTTGGTTATGTTCCTTGCTGTTGCCTCTGGAAAGTTAATATCTGGCTGATTCCCCCAACTTACAGCATGTTTTAGTGGCAACCATACGACACAATTCTCATAACTTCCTATGCATTAATGACACACATATATGGATAGAGAAATGACTTTCAGCAGATCATAACCTTTCCCCTGATACCTTACAAGGCATGCTTTATGTGTAAGATCACAATTATATGAAAATGAGGAATATGGGGGTTACAGCACACTTCCCCAAGGTATAGAATGTCACAATGGTTATTGGTGATCAATTTTTTCTTTCCTTTTCTCGGCCTATTTAATTTTCTGTGGACTTCAACCATAGTTCTTTACCAGTAGCAGAGAACACAGTCTTTCCTCTCTGTGTCAGCTGTCAGTGCTGTTCACCAAAAGATATACACAGAAGAACAGTGCAGGAAGCTTTTTCCTTCCCACCACTCCAAAGATCCAGGTTACCACTTATTTGAGTGTCAGTCTGTAAGGCACTGACATCAATAATTGCCAGTTACTGCAAAACTCCCACAGGGCAGCGCAGTGTGCTAGTTTATACTAGTAGGCCAGATTAACATCAGTATTACTAGGTGTTTCATTAGGGAGAGATCATGTGATCAAGGGCATTGGACTGGGAGTCAAGAGACCTCAGTTAATACTCTGTTTGGCCAGTGATCTGCTGTGTGACCTCTGGCAAAACATTTCAGTTTTTTGTGACTCTGTTTCCACTTCCACTTTCCGTCTATCTTGCCTGTTTAGATTGTAAACTCTCTGGGGTAGGGACTGTGTCTTATATGATTGTACAGTGCCGAGCACAATGAGGTCCTGATCTCAGTTCAGGCATCTGAGCACTACTGTAAAGAAATAATAAACTTAATAGTATTAATGTATGTAGATACAGAGTGATGTTCTTTCCTAGGTTTTAAATGCCGCTGAATCTCTGATTGCTGTTATATAAAAGAGCTTGCTAGTCTTTCAGCCTGGTGTTCCTACAAATTATTTTGGTATAGCTACCTCTCTCAGGGCTGTGAAAAATCCACACACCCCTGAGAGACATATATTTACTGACCTAACCCCTGGTATAGATCAGCGCCAAGTCAATTTCTGAGAATTCTTCTGTAGACCTAGCTACCAATTCTCGGAGAGGTGGATTACCTACACCAATGGGAGAAGCGCTCTTGTCTTGTAGAAGATTGTGTCTACACTGAAGCACTACAGTGGCGCAGCTGGAGTGTCTGAAGTGTAGACAAGCCTGAAGAGTGTTATCCCAGAAGCTGCTAGTTAGTGTAAAATGTTATCCTGGTAAATTGTGTGTGAAAGGGTGATAAGAATTTAATTTTTCACTTTACAGGTGTTGTTGTCTGTGAACCTCCTAACAACAAGCTGGATACATTCACAGGAGTTCTTTTCTGGAAAGATAATAGGTACTCGCTCAGTAATGAAAAGATGCTGCTACGAGGTTGTGTGTTGAGAAACACAGAGTGGTGCTTTGGAATGGTTATTTTTGCAGGTAAGACAAACCTTTATGGATTAACAGCAATTTTAACCCCTAATGTGCTCACATACCAGTACCCTGTAAAATGGTTATGTATCATTATGGCTTGGTGTCTATAACAGCTGACATAGATACTCCACATTTAGATAGAGCCTTTAGTCTTAGGATCTCAGAAATATTTTACAAAAGTATATAGGTATAATTGTCCCCATTTTACAGATGGACTGAAAAACGAGGCATGGAGAGGTTACCTGTCTTGACCAAATGTCACAGTGAGTCACTAGCAGAGGCAGGAGTAGAACTTAAATATCTTGACTCCCTCTTTCCTATTTTAACTAGTAGGTGGTAGCAGGCACTAGCCATCTGAATTTATCTGTATATACAAGCATCTCAAACTTTAGTTGTCCCAGAAGGTGTCAGTGTTCCAAAGTCCTGAACAAAAATGTAATAAATATGAAAGTAATGGATCAGCCTTGCAAAATTGTCATGACTTTACCAACCCAAGCACAAAATGCACTTTCCTGTCCATTTACCATGATGTCTGATGAAAGAGCTAACAATATTTTACTTGCCCAGAGCAAATTGCAAGTAGAATTTTGCAAGAATGCAATAGATGCTCACAAATATATTACAAAATTTCATATGTCCTAGTAATGCAAAGAAACGGAGACAAGGAAAATCCTGGCATTAGGAATGATATAGGAACAGTATAGACAGTGATTAGGTCGGGTAGATGCAACACATTGGGATGCTGTTGTAAAATTGACTACCAAATAAGGTGAATATGGACTTCTATTCCACGTCAACATATAATGGCTGGGTGAGTGGAGGCAGTTAGGGAAGGCTGACATTATGTTTACACAAAATTTATGTAATACCAAACAAAATGTGTGTATAGATATATAGATAAAAATTGTGTATATTTTAATTTCTTCCTTATCCAACCTTTGTTAGTCCTCGTCATATGTTGTAAGCTCTTTGGTGCATGGACTGTGTCTATCTTTGTGTTTATACCTAATGTAATGAATCCCAAATTTGTTAGTCTCTAAGGTGCCACAAGTACTCCTTTTCTTTTTGCGAATACAGACTAACATGGCTGCTACTCTGAAAACAGTTCTTGACTGGACACTCTGGGTACTAACCTATTATACACATTTAATAATAGTAATAATAGAGGGAACCTCAGGATGAATTTAAACTTTAAATATATGTAATGATATATGAGGTAATTACATTCCATATAGTCAAATTAAGACATTGTGCAAATCAATATCCATGTGACGTGAATCAGAGTCCTTGGTTATACTACAATTATCAATCAAGAAGAATTCACATTTAAAACCCACACCCAAAAAAAGGTATCCCAGCTCTTCCTGGATAATCTTTGCTATGTGTTTACTGCAAATATGTATGTAGAGCACTGGTGGTTTTAAATTCATGGGCAATGCCCAGATGTGTCAAAACACATATATCTGTGCCTAGAATGTAGCCAATACATTGGTTGGGCCAGGTTCATTTGCTCTATAGTCGAGCATGTCCTTGTCCTTAGATTTTTGGAATTAAAAAGGAGCTCAGTTTTGAGGAGCTTTTATGAACTCTCTGGCTTGCCATCAAACAACTGCTTGCTGATGTGCCTTGAGGACCTCTCTCTTCATTCATGTGGATGTTAATACACATTACTTTACACACTCAGTCTCCAGTGACATAAAAGTTGGCTATATTCCATGTAAGCCCGGCGGGGGGATTGGGGGGGGAGTTTGGCTAGAACAACCACACATAATGAGAGGAGACGCTGAGTGCTTGCTTGCTGTGGGCCAGCATTACAGAACTTGTAGAAACTAATGAATGAATAAAATAATAATAATAATTGGCACTTCTGTATCACCTTCCGATTGAGCATCTCAAAGTGCATTACAGATATGAGAAATTTAAGCCCCAGAAACGCCTGCTGAGATAGGTAGGTAAGTATTTCCCCCATTTTATAGATGAGAAAACAGAAGCTCAGAGAGGTGATGTGTAATGAGGTCTCAAAGGAAGTCTGGAGCAGAGGCAAGCGAAGAACACAGAACAGCTTGTTCCTAATTTTGTAGTTTTATGGGAATAAAGTCCTCGAAAATTTCCTCAGTCTGGAATGAAATATTTTTGGAGCAATCAGATTTTAAATTAGATGATGATTTTCACCACCCCAGTCTAACCACCATTCTACAGTGCTGAATATTTTTCAGACTTGATTGCGAAAGCTCAGGAATGCTTTTAGACAATTAAAATATGCAAAATGAGAATATCTCAGTTTTTAGAATTTATTTCTTGCATATGCATTAGAAAAAGTAGCTTCAATATGTGTATTTTTAAAAATTTCAGTAATGTATTTAATAATTTTAGTAAATAATTTATCATGTAATGATTTTAAAAAAGATTTACTTTTTTTTATAGGCCCTGACACTAAATTAATGCAAAACAGTGGTAGAACTAAATTTAAAAGAACAAGCATTGACCGGCTGATGAATACTTTAGTATTATGGGTAAGTTATTATCGTCAGATCAGGAAAAATCAGTGGGCATTGCATCCACATCATTAATCTACTCTACTAAATTATCATTTCAGATATCATGGAATTATCTGTATCAGTAGATATTTCTGGACAGTGTACGATACCAATATGAAACCTTTGCAGCACAGATACATACATAAGGTTGAAAGAGACACATTTATCCATCTTGAAGACCGTTATCTGTCACTGAGCACCCCTGCATTACAGGAGTATTTACAAGCAGTAGCAATCCGTTGTTCTTTAGGGCAGGATCTTTTCATGAGGCTACTGGTATGGTGAGCTCAAGACAAATGCACAGAAGGTTTTTACAGCAATTTTTCTTATCCCTCACCATCGTTCTGGTTCCTAACCTTCAGTGAGAACAGGATTGTACCCTTCCTGTTAATTTGGTTTTTGTGGCAGGTTATCCCCAGGTAGTGAAGATCAGGTGCAGAAAGTTGTAACTAGGAACCTTCAGTGGACTGAGTATTTCACTTCTGTGTCAAACTTGGTCTCTACAATTAAAGCTAAGGATATATCCAAATTCCTTATGGTTACTTAGTGAAACAAAATATTGCAGTTTTGGCATAGGCAAACTTCAAAGCTACTACTTTTCTTAAATGTTGTGTTTTTGATCATGGGAGAAATTATGGAGTTGCAGAAACTTTTTAACTGAGTAAATCCAAAGATTCATAGATGGGGTTGTGGATGAAGAGAGAAGTTTCCATGTGAGAAATAGTGAAATTTTTCCAACATGGCTAAATACTACTCAGATTTTTAAAGTTATTTAAAGCTCTTTGTACTCACATGCTATTAAAATTAATCATTTACCGATGACTTAGAAAAACACATCTTTAACCAAACTTTTATAAGCATGCTCACAGCGAGTGGTCATTGAGGTTTTTGTTATTTATCACAACAATAAAAAAAACCTTTTTGCCAACTCTTCTAATAACTGCACCTATTTGTAGTTTATGTACAATATCAGATTATAATGATGTTGGGCCAGATCCTAAGGTCTTCACTATTGGCTAGATTTGCCTTTAGATCACAGCCCATAGAAAGTAGCAGTGTAGAACTACATCATCTTGGAAGAGCATCAGGAGACATTGTGTCTCAGGAAGACAGGATGGCACCCAGAGCCCCCAACATGCATGGGGAGTGTGCATATGGTTACAGTGATTTTATGTGATGCATCTTAAACCCCCTCACACTGCACTGTAACTATCCCATGATCCAGAGCAGAAGGAGATTGATACCTAGCCTCCCTTTGGCTCCAGACTGCAATTTGGCCTCTCCCCTGTGCAAAGCAGGCACACTTGTACATGTATGTACGTACATACACACATGTGCTGTGCACTTGCGAAAGGGTCAGGGGAACGTGGGCTCTGGTTTGTACACAGCCAGTATCTAGACAAACTGAGTAAGGAATGGAGACTAACTGGAGACAAACTAATTATGGACTCAGATTTTGGGCCTTTATTTGGAGCAAAGAACAACAAAGTGAGATTTTCCCCCCAGTTTATTAGCGATGAAATATTCTTTGCTTTGTGTAGTTCTGTTTTGGATCTTAAGCAACCTGTTTACTTAGACTGGGTAATACCAATATGTATCTGTAAGTGAAATGTATAGTTTCCATGTATCCATTTTAGGAAATAGTACACATTTTGAAAAACCTAACCAGCTCTGTTATTCTCATTTCAGATCTTCAGCTTTTTGGTATGTATGGGAATAATTCTGGCAATAGGAAATTCAATATGGGAACATCAGGTTGGGGCCCGTTTCAGAATTTACCTTTATTGGAATGAAGTGGTGAACAGTTCTGTATTTTCAGGATTTCTCACATTTTGGTCGTACATTATCATACTCAATTCAGTTGTGCCCATTTCCTTGTATGTGAGGTAAGATGAGAGATTATGATTTTATAAAGCATATAAATATTAATAGCTATTTCACCTCAACTTTTTTTCTAAATTGCAATGTCATACTTTATCCCTTTAATTTTTGTGTTTTTAAAACTTGATCTGCTGTATATTTTGTACATAAGAAACCTAAACCTTTTATGGAGATAATGCTTAGAATTGGAGAACAGCACATGCTTGCTTTCTTGCCTTCTTTCTTTCTTGTCTAGAATTCATTGTCATTGAATTATGTTAACTCTTTTGTTTTCTCCTTGCTTTGCTCTCCAACAGCTGACAGGTAAGCAGTGGTGGACATCTGTCACTCCCTGCACCTGACCTTTGGTTTGAGAAATAGCAATGCGTTCATCACCTTTGTGTTATTTTTGTTGTTCATCTTTTCCTCAGAATGTCCTTGATGTGTACATTTAATTTTTTCTTCCTTAAATGTTGAGTCCTTATGTAAAAATTTCTTTTGTTCTCATGCTGAACAAGTTTATTGAGAAGGCATTGTTGCTTAACTAAGGTTCCTGTTCACACAATTTTTACATTATTCCAGCACCTCTTAACGTTCAAAAATATGGAAATTAAAATCTACAATGTATATTATATGATGGAATATTATATATATTATATGGGACGGAAGAATCCCATGCACTGTTACAGACTAGGGACCGAATGGCTAGGCAGCAGTTCTGCAGAAAAGGACCTAGGGGTTACAATGGACGAGAAGCTGGATATGAGTCAACAATGTGCCCTTGTTGCCAAGAAGGCTAACGGCATTTTAGGCTGTATAAGTTGGGGCATTGCCAGCAGATCGAGGGATGTGATCATTCCTCTGTATTTGACATTGGTGAGGCCTCATCTGGAGTACTTTGTCCAGTTTTGGGCCCCATACTACAAAAAGGATGTGAAAAAATTGGAAAGAATCCAGCGGAGGGCAACAAAAATGATTAGGGGGCTGGAGCACATGACTTATGAGGAGAGGCCGAGGGAACTGGGATTGTTAAGTCTGCAGAAGAGAAGAATGAGGGGGGATTTTATAGCTGCTTTCAACTACCAGAAGGGGGGTTCCAAAGAGGATAGATCTAGACTGTTCTCAGTGGTACCAGATGACAGAACAAGGAGCAATGGTCTCAAGTTGCAGTGGGGGAGGTTTAGGTTGGATGTTAGGAAAAACTTTTTTCACTAGAAGGGTGGTAAAGCACTGAAATGGGTTACCTAGGGAAGTGGTAGATCTCCTTCCTTAGAAGTTTTCAAGGTCAGGCTTGACAAAGCCCTGGCTGGGATGATTTAGTTGGGGATTGGTCCTGCTTTGAGCAGGCAGTTGGACTAGATGACCTCCTGAGGTCCCTTCCAACCCTGATATTCTATGATTCTATAGCTAATCTCATATTTTCAGTTATTAGTCATAAAACCACCATCTTTCGCCTTGCCAATATTGACATTGCAGTTAGACAATTCGTTGGGTAGAAAATTAGCAGAATGATTCAAAATAGTTTTCTGGCTCCTTCGGGCATCAAATCCATGTTAATAAAGAATAAAATGCCAGGATTAGTGGAGGCACAAAGATGACTTAGAGCCATCCCACTCTCCTTCTCAGTTATGCTGACTTGTGCTCCAGTGCATATTAGGATTGAGTCCAACATGCACAGCCTATTGTCAGTACATGTAAGTAGCTCTCACAATTGGAGTCTGTATGCACAATAATGGGGAAATAGAACACTGTGGATCAGCTGTCTAACTGTAATAATCTGTAACTGTATACATTAATAGACAGCCCAGTTGTCAGCTGACCACATGTGGATGGTTTTGAAGATAGACCTCATGTGATCTTTATCTCTAAAAATGCGGGCCTCTACCCAATGAGTGAAAGTAGTAACTACTCATTCATCAAGTATTAACCTGAAAAGACCTAACGTACTTGAATTTAGAATGTCCATATTTTATTCTCAACTGATAATGCTATATCATTTACACAATGACAGAAAACTATGAAGTTTACATACATTTTTAAATGTCAGTGTTCTTACTATGCATGTTACTTCACAGAGGAATTAAAAGTGTGAGATAGCATTGTATAGAACAGTATAATGTTTACTCTGCATAGCTCTTTTGCTCTGAACTCTAAAGACTGCTTTGATTGAACTGCATTTGATATATTTTCATGTGAAAGGTTTTACGATTCTGAAAAGTGTTTCTGTGTGTGTGGTTTTTTTTTTTTTTCAAAGTGTGGAAGTGATTCGACTTGGACACAGCTACTTCATAAATTGGGATCGTAAAATGTATTACCCCAAAAAAGATACACCTGCTGAGGTTCGGACTACCACGCTCAATGAAGAATTAGGACAAATTGAATATATTTTCTCAGACAAAACAGGAACAATCACTCAAAACATAATGACTTTTAACAAATGTTCCATTAATGGAAAAACATACGGTAAGTCAGTGTTTATTAATGTTTTGCCAGTAAAGTTTACTTCTAATTGTGATGTTGTTTAGCTCATTCGCTGATTATTGATGACATTTGTTCATTATGAGCCTTATCCAGCTTCCCTTGAAGTCAGTGTAGAGACTCCAGTCAACTTCTGTAGGCTTTGGATCAGGCTCTATAAAAGAGAAATACTATCTGATGTTGGTGTGATTCCTTAAGTATGTAAATATGGGTTTAGAGGTACCTTGTCCATCTTCTGATAATCAAGGGTTTAATGCAGGATTAAAGAATGGAGATAAAACCAGTAGTCATGACATTGTATATATATAAATTAAACATAGGGGGCTTTTTCATGAACTTTCAGGTCATATTACTACCTTCAATGATTTATTGTAATCTTCCCAAAACTGAGTAATATTGTTTTAAATGCATATTCATGATACTTCTTGTACAGGCTAAGAAGTCTTTTATAATATAACTATTTTGTAATAATGTCTGATGTTAGAAAAAAGAAAAGGAGTACTTGTGGCACCTTAGAGACTAACCAATTTATTTGAGCATAAGCTTTCGTGAGCTACAGCGGATGCATACTGTGGAAAGTATTATCCGCTGTAGCTCACGAAAGCTTATGCTCAAATAAATTGGTTAGTCTCTAAGGTGCCACAAGTACTCCTTTTCTTTTTGCGAATACAGACTAACACGGCTGTTACTCTGAAACTTGATGTTAGAAAGTGATTGATTGCCTAGCACCAGGGAGTTGCTGGGCAAATATCCCATGTCTCTGCCAATGCAACAAAATTGTGCCCTGCCACAGGCCTGATACCTAATATTCCAAGTATCTATTTTACAACACTTCTGTAATCTTGAAATCAGTCCCTTAGAGACTAGTTTTAGACTTATAAATATAGATATAATATAATATAAAAACATGGTATTAAAAATCCTTTAGTGTAAAGTGGTAATTCTTTAAAAACTTGCCAACTGTCTTACAGAATGTTTTAGACTAATAAAATAACTACATTAGTATTTGCTAATATTCTGGGTAGTCTCTGTATAGAGAAGTTTAGGTAATACTACAAATACTAAGGTAATTTTTTCAGCAAGTGAATATTTGTATGTCTCAATTGCATAATAAACACCCCGTATAAAACTTGAGAGCCAGATACTGAAAATATGCAACAAGTATACTTTATAACCCTTGACTTCTATGGGGTTACTCATGTGAATAAAGTAGATTCTTATGCATAAGTGATAGCAAAATCAAGCCCTAAACAATCAGAATAAATACAATAGCTGGAGGAAAAAATTCAGTGGCATTGTAGACAATAGAATGGAAGCATTTACTTTAAGATAATGTTGGTTGTACCATGATCCACTGCAATATTTTAGAATGTTGTTGCAATAAGTGTTTCCTCTTTGATGTCTACCTCCATAGTCTAAAAAAATATGAAAAAGTTATTTCATAAAACTCTAAAACTGGAATTAAATGTCATATTTTATGTTAATTAACTTTGTATTTTGTAGGTGATGTATATGATGACTTTGGCCGGAAAACAGAAATTAATGAGGTATAAATATGACCAAGTTACTAAATATTTAATATATTGTAATATAGCTTATTTAATCATTAAAATATTTTCAATAGATCAGTAATTTTCAATTAAATATTAATTTTCCCTGAACTTGAAACATGCTGTAGAATAACTTATAGTAAGATGTAGGCAAGAAAAACATGAAATTTCTTTTCCCTCTAGGAGTTTGATTACATTTTAAAATTTACCAAAATAGCTATTCCGAAATAATTATTCCAGAACAGTTATTTCAGTATAAGTACCTGTATGAACATTCTTATTCCAGAATAGCTGTTTTGGTGAACTTCCAAGTGTAGACAAGCCCTTACATCCTCCTTTTATGGCCCTTCTTTCTCTAGGCAGTAGGGCTGAATGCCAATCACACAGCACCAGGTGTAACTTCAAGCAGTACTGTTTCAGGTAATTAAAAGCACCTACATTTTGTATGTAACAATCAAATAGAACAATGAGTATTTTGGAGCAGGACTATACTGTGAGTTACTATGATGATGGGAGCCATGTAAGTAGCCAGACTGCTTTGTTTTCACACTCCAAAAGATCAGCTATTACCAAATGCGCAACTACAAAATGGGGAATAACTGGCTAGGCAGTAGTACTGCTGAAAAGGATCTGGGATTATAGTGGAACACAAATCAAATATGAGTCAACAATGTGATGCTGTTGAGAAAAAGGCTAATGTCATTCTAGGGTGTATTAACAGAATTGTTGCATATAAGACACGGGTGATAATTGTCCTGCTCCACTCAGCACTGGGGAGGCCTCAGCTGTAGTCCTGTATCTAATTCTGGGCACCACACTTATGAAAGATGTGGACAAATTGGAGAAAGTCTGGAGGAAAGCAACAAAAATGATACAAAGTTTAGAAAACTTGACCTATGAGGAAAGGTTACAAAGCAGGCATGTTTAGTCTTGAGAAAAGAAGACTGAGGAGGAACCTAATTATAGTTTTCAAATAAGTCAAGGGATGTTAAAAAGAGGACTGTAATCAATTGTTCTCCATGTCCACTGACGACAGGACAAGAAGTAATGGGCTTAATCTGCAGCAAGGGAGATTTAAATTAGATATTAGGAAAAACTTTCTAACAATAAGGGTAGTTAAGCTGTAGAATAGGCTTCCAAAGGAGTTTGTGGAATCCCTATCATTGAAGTTTTTTAAGACAAGGTTGGACTGAAACCTGTCAGAGATGGTCTAGGTTTATTTGGTCCTGCCTTGACGCAGAAGGCTGGACTCAATGACTTCTCAAGGTTCCTCCATCCCTACATTTGGTTCTGCCTGTACCACTGAAGTCAATAGGAACGGGAACAGACCCTTACATAGCAAAATAGGGACTGATAGAAGTCATATAGCCCAATTAGATTCCATTATTTCTCTGGCTTTATAAGGACTTGGTTGTAGATTTTTTTAGCTAGACAGCAGCAAGATTTGAGAGGGAAGAGTCAGAGTGATATTCTAATCTCATTCACTCTCTTCTGCTGAGCTGCATAAAATTAGAAGGGTCACATTTCCTTATTCATTTCTAAATTATTTAGTATTAGCTACACTAAACAAGATTTTTCGCCCCCCCCCACTATGCAACTAGTATTGACTCCCTGGCATTGTTTGTGTTGCATAGAAGTATAGAAATGTAGTGCTAGAAGTGACCTTGAGAGGTCATCTAGTCCAGCAAACCCCCCCCCCCGCCCTTGTGCTGAGGTAGAACAAAGTATCTGATGTTGTGGGATAGCTAGAAAGTCAATCATTTGACCAGTACTGTTCGCTGTATCTGCAGTGATATGAGTACATTGCCCTTGAACTCTAGTTCATATTAGATTCCGCATCCTTTTCCACATCAGTGACACTGTGGAAAATTATGTAAGGTAGAATTAGACAGGAACATGTTTGTGCTATCATTTGTTACAGCTTCTTTTGTTCCTATTATCTCTACAGAAGCTCTTCATCTGGGTCTTTGAATAGCTTGTTCAGGGGAAGATGCACTACCCCCTCAAATTCAAGATCAGTTTTATTGTGTATAATCACAATGTTTATAGTAGGTGTAACCTCAGTTCTGTGCTTATTAACTTTTTTGGAAATACAGATACATGCTACAATTCCTTGCCCTCTAGTGTTTGGAGGCCCTACAAAAAGGCACAGAAGCTATTAACATGTACTGGAGATAATCCTTAGCTAAACTCAAGAAACCCAGGCTGGGTGCGGGGAGGAATGGAAGAAAATTACTATAAATGTGTAAAAACCTATATATTTGTAATGATACTAACCTCTTTTCGACAGTGCTTTGAAATCTATTGATGAAAAGCTCTGTATCAGTGGTATAATTATTATTATAAAAGGCCATGCCATAACTTCATAAGCTAACCTCCTGATTCCTAGAAACTCATTGTTAGAACACAGTTAGGAATCCTAAGAATAACAAGTCTGCCAGTTACTTAGCTACCATTAATTGAACATGCAGCAGTGATCCTAATCTGAACATAACAAAAAATGGCCAACTTCTTATCTTATTAATTTTAAACTATCCTAACATTCTGATGGACTCTAAACCTGTGTGTATGTTATTTGTTAACTATGAGGTATCTAGATGTGCCCTTGCTTCTGGTTGTTTTGATACTTTTTCTTTTCTTCTGTATATTTCTTTATAATTGGTTTGCATTGAGAGGCTCCTGCTCTGTACTTCTGATATCTTTGTCTTTTCTGTCATTTGTTTTTGTAAAGAAAAAATTACATTTCAGTAAACAAAAACTAAAACTCAAATGAAGCATGTTTCCCTGCCTCTGAAGCGAAAGGAACAGTTCAATTGGCTTTCAGTGGTATTAGGGTTTATATCTTCTTTGCAGGCTAGCCATTAAAAAGGAAAAACAACAAACATTTGATCAATTTTGACTCCAGTAAGCAGAGTGCAGTGACATACATTCTGGAACACAGCAGCCAGCACATTGCTTGACAAATTTCCTGCTCTTGTAGTGTCTTAAAATAGACTGCATCGAGCTCCCCTCTGTCTCTAGATGAAAGTGACTGAATATTTCCAGTCCAAATTTACTTCAAAAACACTTTTTCTATGAGATGCCTGCCACAGTAGAAATGATTTTATGACATAATAAGCAACATAACTTGAAAATGTTTGGAAAATGACATCAGGCAGGTACCAATTTTATTCTTAAGAACTGTCCTTACTGATTAAACGGAATAACTGGTTTTGAAATACAAAACAAATAATAGGTTGAAAATGTGTGTATTTACTTCAATGTACTTCAGTCTCAGACTACGCAGCCCATGTCTGCTAGAGTGTTTAACATTTAGCCTTATGTCTGGACTCTGGAGACTTGTTAAAATTGATTAGCTTTTAGGCCCAGCTGCCATCTGTGTCTTTGAAAATATCCCCACCCCTCAACAGTCTTGTTTTAAAAACTTATCTTTTTAATATTAATGTAGCCTTGTCAGTTAAAAAACAAATGTCATTTTTCTGATATTTAACTTTTTTGATGAAAAAGGATACATTACAAAACTGAAGATTAAGGACCACTTTCTTTTGTGCCTGTAGACCAAATACAAGTATTAATTTTCTGTTTTAGATCTTTTTCAACCACTGTCAGTGAGAACAAAAAGGAGTCTTAATTACAAATGCAAAATCCAGATATGTAATTGTACCATGAAATTAAATTATGCCATTTTACTTTGTGTGGGTTTCTAATATAGTCTCTTAATACAAAAATATCAAAATAAAAGGATCTCAACCATTTAAAATCCTTACTCTTTTAAACATTGTGTTTGTTTGTTTTTCTCTTGCAGAAAACAGTGCCAGTGGATTTTTCATTCAACCCACTAGCAGATAGAAAATTTCAATTTTATGATCACAGCCTGATTGAATCCATTCAACTAGGAGATGCAATGGTACATGAGTTCTTTAGGTTGCTTTCCCTCTGCCATACAGTCATGCCTGAAGAAAAAAATGCAGGTAAACTACTGAAAAGCTTAGTTATAAGAGATTCTAAATATTTGGTTTCTATAGCACTTTTCTAACTTAAAAAGTATAGGTTAGCCACATTTTTAAAGGAAGAAGTGAGTCAAGAAGGAGCCATAAAAATGTGGATGCAGATCTTGCACCCTTAAAACTCTGGGTACACTGTCAGGTGTTTCTGAGTACAAATTAAGTAATTGCACATGCAAATCTTAGTTGCATAAGCAAATAACTGATTTTTCTGTTCTCTGACACATGTAAATACCTTTTCATCCTTGAAATTGTCTGATTTCCACAGGGTTCTGTGAGCATAGCATTGGCATACACTGTTTGCATTGGCTTACTTGTTATGCTGGCCCCTAATTTAGTTCAGGCAATTTTGCCTGGGGGAGTGATAGTGCACATAGGTGCATGTGCAAAATTAGAGGCCAGGTGGATCTTCATTAAAAGTTAGTCTTTTTTAAGTCTTCCCACAAAAGAGAGGGAAGTAAGATTATTTCATCTCTTTAGAGTATTGCATACAATTATTTTTGTTTCCACTTGATTATTGTGCCTTTTAGTATTGGTTTGGATATTTTTATAAGTGTAATATATGGTACATATCTTGGATGAGCCATATAGTTCAGGTGTGTGAGCACAAATTGTGTATAATCTTGGTCTGGAAGTGTTGACAATATTTTCAGCTTGCAAACTGTTACAATTCTGAAATCGAAAATTAGGAAGCCTTTAAACAATGTTAGCCATATCATGTGTTATTCATGAAGAGAAGCTAGTCTTACTATAATTCCTCATTTTTGTAAAAATCCCCTTCATGATCCAAGAATTGGGATTATTGGGAGTTCCACTGTATCACTAGGGCCCTACCAAATTCAGCATCCATTTTGGTCAATTTCATAGTCATAGGATTAAAAAAATCGTAAATTTCATGATTTCACAAAAAGAAAAGGAGGACTTGTGGCACCTTAGAGACTAACCAATTTATTTGAGCGTAAGCTTTCGTGAGCGACAGCTCACTTCATCGGATGCATGCCTGATTTCATGATTTCAGCAATTTAAATTTGAAATTTCATGGTGTTATAATTGTAGGGGTCCTGACCCAAAAAGGAGTTGTGGGGGGTCACAAGGTTATGTAGGCAGCATTGCAGTACTGTTATCCTTACTTCTGCGCTACTTCTGGTGGCAGTGCTGCCTTCAGAGATGGGCAGCTGGAGAGCAGGAGCTACTGGCCGGGAGCCCAGCTCTGAAGGCAGAGCTGCTGCCAGCAGCAGTGCAGAAGGAAGGATGGCATGGTATGATATTGCCACTCTTACTTCTGCTCTGCTGCCTGCAAAGCTGGGCCCTCAGTCAATAGCCGCCACTGTCCTAAAATAATCTTGTGACGCCCCTGCAATTTCCTTTTGAGTCAGGACCCCCAGTTTGAGAAATACTGGTCTCCCCTGTAAAATCTGTATAGAATAGTGTAAAAACACACAAAAGACAAGAGTTCATGGTGGGAGACCATATTTCATGGTTCATGACGTGTTTTTCATGTCAGTGAATTTGGTAGGGCCCTATGCATCACAGTCCACCTTTCAAGATGCAGACTAATTATCCTCACTTTGTTATGTTGCCGTGTCATGTGCTCATTCTATACTGGTGGCTGAATTAAAGTTGGATACTTTTCTATGGTATTAGACTCTTTAGAACCAGTCATGCTGTGTGTAACATGAAATAAATCACCATAGTCATAGTCACAGAGGACAGGATTCTGGGAAGAGAAGATGTATGGAGTGTGACAGCACCTCAGTTACCTGTCTCATGGATGAGCATATGTTAACACAGCATTTACAAGTAGCTAATGCATCTTGTCCATTGTTTAACACAGAAATAACAGGCCTTTGATTTTAAACCTCTGCCCTGGTCTACACTAGGACTTTAGGTCAAATTTAGCAGCGTTAAATCGATGTAAACCTGCACCCATCCACACAATGAAGCCCTTTATTTCGACTTAAAGGGCTCTTAAAATCGATTTCCTTACTCCACCCCTGACAAGAGGATTAGTGCTTAAATCGACGTTGCCGGCTCGAATTTGGGGTACTGTGGACACAATTTGATGGTATTGGCCTCCGGGAGCTATCCCAGAGTGCTCCATTGTGACCGCTCTGGACAGCACTCTCAACTCAGATGCACTGGCCAGGTAGACAGGAAAAGAACCGCCAACTTTTAAATCTCATTTCCTGTTTGGCCAGCGTGGCAAGCTGCAGGTGACCATGCAGAGCTCATCAGCACAGGTGACCATGATGGAGTCCCAGAATCGCAAAAGAGCTCCAGCATGGACCGAACGGGAGGTACGGGATCTGATCGCTGTTTGGGGAGAGGAATCTGTGCTATCAGAACTCTGTTCCAGTTTTCGAAATGCCAAAACCTTTGTCAAAATCTCCCAGGGCATGAAGGACAGGGACCCGAAGCAGTGCCGTGTGAAACTGAAGGAGCTGAGGCAAGCCTACCAGAAAACCAGAGAGGCGAACGGCCGCTCCGGATCAGAGCCCCAAACATGCCGCTTCTATGATGAGCTGCATGCCATTTTAGGGGGTTCAGCCACCACTACCTCAGCCGTGTTGTTTGACTCCTTCAATGGAGATGGAGGCAATACGGAAGCAGGTTTTGGGGACGAAGAAGATGATGATGATGATGAGGTTGTAGATAGCTCACAGCAAGCAAGCAGAGAAACCGGTTTTCCTGACAGCCAGGAACTGTTTCTCACCCTGGACCTGGAGCCAATACTCCCCGAACCCACCCAAGGCTGCCTCCTGGACCCAGCAGGCGGAGAAGGGACCTCTGGTGAGTGTACCTTTTAAAATACTATACATGGTTTAAAAGCAAGCATGTGAAAGGATTACTTTGCCCTGGCATTCGCGGTTCTCCTAGATGTACTCCTAAAGCCTTTGCAAAAGGTTTCTGGGGAGGGCAGCCTTATTGTGTCCTTAATGGTAGGACACTTTACCACTCCAGGCCAGTAACACGTACTCAGGAATCATTGTAGAACAAAGCATTGCAGTGTATGTTTGCTAGCATTCAAACAACATCCGTTCTTTATCTCTCTGTGTTATCCTCAGGAGAGTGAGATATAATTCATGGTCACCTGGTTGAAATAGAGTGCTTTTCTTCAGGGGACACTCAGAGGAGCCCATTCCTGCTGGGCTGTTTGCCTGTGGCTAAACAGAAATGTTCCCCGCTGTTAGCCACAGGGAGGGGGGAGGGTTGAGGGGGTAGCCACGCGGTGGGGGGAGGCAAAATGCGACCTTGTAACGAAAGCACATGTGCTATGTATGTAATGTTAACAGCAAGGATTACCCTGAAAGAGTGTAGCCACTGTTTTATAAAATGTGTCTTTTTAAATACCGCTGTCCCTTTTTTTTTCTCCACCAGCTGCATTTGTTTCAATGATCACAGGATCTTCTCCTTCCCAGAGGCTAGTGAAGCTTAGAAAGAAAAAAAAATGCACTTGCGATGAAATGTTCTCCGAGCTGATGCTGTCCTCCCATACTGACAGAGCACAGACGAATGCGTGGAGGCAAATAATGTCAGAGTGCAGGAAAGCACAAAATGACCGGGAGGAGAGGTGGCGGGCTGAAGAGAGTAAGTGGCGGGCTGAAGAGAGGGCTGAAGCTCAAATGTGGCGGCAGCGTGATGAGAGGAGGCAGGATTCAATGCTGAGGTTGCTGGCGGACCAAACCAGTATGCTCCAGTGTATGGTTGAGCTGCAGCAAAGGCAGCTGGAGCACAGACTGCCACTGCAGCCCCTGAGTAACCAACCGCCCTCCTCCCCAAGTTCCATAGCCTCCACACCCAGACGCCCAAGAACGCGGTGGGGGGGGCCTCCAGCCAACCAGCCACCCCACCACAGAGGATTGCCCAAAAAAAAGAAGGCTGTCATTCAATAAATTTTAAAGTTGTAAACTTTTAAAGTGCTGTGCTTAAAGTGCTGTGTGGCATTTTCCTTCCCTCCTCCACCACCCCTCCTGGGTTACCTTGGTAGTCATCCCCCTATTTGTGTGATGAATGAATAAAGAATGCATGAATGTGAAGCAACAATGACTTTATTGCCTCTGCAAGCGGTGATTGACGGGAGGAGGGGCGGGTGGTTAGCTTACAGGGAAGTAGAGTGAACCAAGGGGTGGGGGGTTTCATCAAGGAGAAACAAACAGAACTTTCACACCGTAGCCTGGCCAGTCATGAAACTGGTTTTCAAAGCTTCTCTGATGCGTACCGCGCCCTCCTGTGCTCTTCTAACCGCCCTGGTGTCTGGCTGCGCGTAACCAGCAGCCAGGCGATTTGCCTCAACCTCCCACCCCGCCATAAACGTCTCCCCCTTACTCTCACAGATATTGTGGAGCAAACAGCAAGCAGTAATAACAGTGGGAATATTGGTTTTGCTGAGGTCTAAGCGAGTCAGTAAACTGCGCCAGCGCGCCTTTAAACGTCCAAATGCACATTCTACCACCATTCTGCACTTGCTCAGCCTGTAGTTGAACAGCTCCTGACTACTGTCCAGGCTGCCTGTGTACGGCTTCATGAGCCATGGCATTAAGGGGTAGGCTGGGTCCCCAAGGATACATTTTGGCATTTCAACATCCCCAACAGTTATTTTCTGGTCAGGGAATAAAGTCTCTTCCTGCAGCTTTTGAAACAGACCAGAGTTCCTGAAGATGCGAGCGTCATGTACCTTTCCCGGCCATCCCACGTTGATGTTGGTGAAACGTCCCTTGTGATCCACCAGAGCTTGAAGCACTATCGAAAAGTACCCCTTGTGGTTTATGTACTCAGCGGCTTGGTGCTCCGGTGCCAAGATAGGGATATGGGTTCCGTCTATGGCCCCACCACAGTTAGGGAATCCCATTGCAGCAAAGCCATCCACTATGACCTGTACATTTCCCAGGGTCACTACCCTTGATACCAGCAGATCTTTGATTGCGTGGGCTACTTGCATCACAGCAGCCCCCACAGTAGATTTGCCC